ACAAAAAATCAGCTGGGCATGGTGGTGCATGCCTGTAATCCCAGCTACTCAGGAGGCTGAGGCAGGAGAATTGCCTGAACCCAGGAGGCGGAGGTTGCGGTGAGCTGAGATCGCGCCATTGCACTCCAGCCTGGGTAATGAGCGAAACTCCGTCTCAAAAAAAAAAGAATTGCTATATAGTCTTGTTGAATTGATCCCTTTCATTATATAAGTACTTCTTTGTCTCTTTTAACAGTTTTTGATCGAAAGTCTATTTTATATAAGTATAGCTATTTCTGCTCATTTTTGGTTTCTGTTTGCATGGAATATCTCTCCATCCCTTTTCTTTCAGTCTATGTCTGTCTTTACAGGTGAACTGCGTTTCTTGTAGGTAGTGTGTATTTGACTTAAGGCTTTTTAAATCCATTTTGTCAGTCCACATATTTTATGTGGGAAATTTATTTACATTCACAGTTATTATTGATAGAGGGAGATTATTCCTTCATTTTGCCAATTGCTTTCTGTAGTGTGTTAATAATGTTTGAATCCTTTCTCTTTATCATTTGTGTATCTGCTTTTCCAGTGAGTTTTATACTTTCATATGCTTTTATCATGGTAGACACTGACTTTCAGGTGCAGGACTCCTTTAAGCATCTTTTTCTTTTCTTTTTTTTTTTTTTTTTTTTTTTTTTTTTGAGACAAGGTCTGGCCATATCACCCAGGCTGGAGTGCAGGGGCACAGTCTTGGCCCACTGCCACTTCTGCCTCACAAGCTCAAGCCATCTTCCCACAACCTCCCAAGTAGCTGGGACTACTGGTGGACACCACCGTGCCTGGCTAACTTTCATATGTTTTTAGAGATGAGGTTTTGTCATGTTTTCCAAGCTGGTCTCAAACTCCTGAGCTCGAGAGATCTCCCCACCTTGGCCTCCCAAAGTGTTGGGATTATAGGTGCCTGGCCTAAGTATTTCATATATGCCTGGTTTAGTGGTGATTAATTTCCTCTGTTTTTCCTTGTCTAGGAAAGACTTTATCTTTCATTTTATTTAAAAATTTTATCTATTTTTAAATTTTAAATGTATTTTGATTTATTTTTTGATTTTTTTATTTTCTAAAAGAGTGATGTCTTGCTGTGCTTCCCAGGCTGGAGTGCAGTGGCTGTTCACAGGCACAGTATGGTGCACTGCAGTCTCAAACTCCTGGGCTCAACCTGTCCTGCCTCATCCTTCCAGGCACTAAGACCACAAGCACACTCTACCATGTCTGGCTTTGCATTTGTTTGGTTTTTTTTTTAGACGGAGTCCTGCTCCATCACCCAGGCTAGAGTGTAGCAGTGTGATCTCGGCTCACTGCAACCCCTGCCTTCCAGGTTCAAGTGATTATTCTGCCTCAGCCTCCTGAGTAGCTGAGATTACAGCTTCACACCATCATACCCTGCTAATTTTTGTGTTTTTAGTAGAGATGAGGTTTCATCATTTTGGCCAGGCTGGTCTCGAACTTCTGTCTTCAGGTGATCCACTTGCCTCAGCCTCCCAAAATGCTGGGATTATAGGCATGAGCCATCGCGCCCAGTCTGCGTTCATTTTAACAATAGTTTCACTGTGTATGGTATTATTATTATTATTATTTTTGAGACAGAGTCTTGCTCTGTTGCCCAGGCTGGAATGCAGTGGTGAGATCTTGGCTCACTGTAACCTCTGCCTTCTGGGTTCAAGCAATTCTCCTGTCTCAGCCTCCTGAGTAGCTGGGATTACCAGTGTCCACCACCATGCCCGGCTAATTTTTGTATTTTTTTTTTTT